CAAACAGGGTGCCCAGTGAAAAAGTTTGAGAACAGCTATTTTGTGGCTCCTATGACAACGCTTTTTAAAACTTCTGCCACTATAATATTTTAAACAGGCACTCTTGTGCTGTAATAACATTATGTAATAATATTTAGACTGGTATTGTGTTGCCTTAGATTTGTTTTTTAGCATCTGCAATGCCTGGAGGAAATGCAAGGCATTTTTAATCCATTAACTGGGATCCCTGGACCAAAATCCATGCAACTGGCATTCAAAACATAGGCATTTCAAACCACTTGAAGTGAGATATTCCCAAAAAAATTGAAAAAAACGACTTCCTCTGGCTTCAGAATGCTCTTTCAGCTCCCAGCAGCGACTTCTGTACGGATGGTAGGGAACATCATGGCAGACATCTAGATTTAAAAGTCAGAAAATAATTGTCTCCCACTATTTTTTGAACGGATGAGGGAGTTCTGATCTGACAATATTCACAACCCATGTTGTATTTACTTTCAGTGAACATCAGAGTGGTCGTGTTTTACAAGTGCAAACACTTGTGAAAATCTAATTTTAAGCTTCGATGATCACCCCAAGCCAGATTCACAGCCAGGCAGGAACAGAACCAGGCAGTTTACATCACTGACACGTCACAAACAGGGCCTGCTCACAAATGCCTGTCCTACAAAGAATCACTCACTGGAGAAAGGAACAAATCAGCTAAACGCACAAACACTACAGAGAATTTTACAGATTGGTCAAGAACAAGAGGAGATTTAAGCCAGGGCTAAAATCATCATTCGTCAGTGATCGGCTTGATTTCCTCAGGTCTCCATCTTCAGGCTCTGAGCCTATGGAGAGCTACGCATGTGATTTTCTGCAGCCTGAGGAGTACTTTAAAGTCTGAAGTTACTCAGAGAGAGAGTTCAGCAGGGACACAAATCACTGCAGAATCAGGCCCTAGTCAATTCCTGGGGACTAATCCTTTCCAGTCTTTAAAGAGCTCTGCAAGTGCAAAACACCTGGGAAACCTCTTCCCCAGCCACACACGGCCCAGGCAGGATGCCAATATCAATTCCCATTAACAACAGAGGTTAGGAGGATACACCAACACGCTCTTCGGCAGAGCGATCAATGGAGCTGAGGGCTCTCTGGGGGCTGTGCCCTTCCTGCTGCTGCAGTACCCGTGTACCAGCAGGAAGCAGTGGGGGCACACAGATCAGCATGTACCTGCCCCTCTCCTTCCCCTCTGCCATGGAATTTCAGACTGCATTTGCTCTGCAAATTGAATGCCTCACTGCACTTCCAGGTCAAGCAGCACTGCTCCTGTTGCTTCAAGGGATGGGGGCTCACATCCTCATCCCGTCTCTCTGCTACTTAGCAAACTTAGATCACACTTCCAACTCCCCAGTAGAGCTGCTAATCCTGTAAACATCATAGAATCATAGAATCACGAGGCTGGAAATGATCTATAAGATCATCCAGTCCAACTGTCTTCTCATCACCACTGCTACCACAAGCACTAAACCAGATCTTGCAGCTCCTCATCCAGATACCTCTTGAACACTGCCAGGGACAGCAACTCCACCACCTCCCTGTGCAGCCATTGCAGTGCCTGACCACTCTCAGAGAGAAAAAGTTCTTCCTCATGCCTAACCTAAACCTCCTCTGCTACAACTTGTGGCCATTTCCCCGGGTCCTGTTCGTTGCCTGGGAGAAGAGGCCAAACCCCTCTTCACCACAACCTCCTTCAGGAAGTTGTAGAGTGCAATGAGGTCTCTCCCAAGCCTCCTCTTCTCCACACTGAACAATCCCAGTTCCCTCAGCCGCTCCTCATTGGACTTGTGCTCCAGACCCCTCACCAGTTTTGTTGCCCTTCTCTGGACATCTCTCCTGGATGGGCTTCCTTCTCTCTGCTCTTTTGGTTCCTCAGTGCAAAGGGAGAATACCGGATGGACCTCTGCTGGCAGTGACAGAGCCCTCTGAATCATTTCATGTCCTCAGGCTGGAACTTCTCAAAGACATGTTGTCATCTGGGCAGAAGGAAGTCAGTGAATGCACTACTGACTTGGAAGGAGGCTCCCACTTGCTCCCATCTTGAATACAGATCCTAAGCTGAACAAGAACCAAAAGTACTATTCTACTTTAGTTCATACTCAGCTTTTCTGTGCCTCTGTCACTCTCCCTCAGATCCCTACAACAGTCCCCTTACTTTCAGAGAGAGCCTCAGTTTAGTGTAGCGTTCCTGACTTCACTAAACAGTCACATGCTGTTACACAGCTGCTGTGCTGCTGCTGCTGGATGGCACACGTTTCAATGGAAGGTGAAGAAAACGCTTTATTTATAAAAGGCAGGGATTTCCATGGAATCTGCCAATTTCAGTAGGGAATTGGCTCTTCAGGGAAATTCCAGACAAAGAACACTGAGCACAGCGGGGTGGGAAAGTGCTACGAGTACACTATTTTGCAATAGTAGAGGATGTAAAGCTAGTAGCAGGCAGCTCTCGATTTAACAGGGATAGCACTAGGATTTTCCTCTGAAGGTACGTGCCTTTTATGTAGTGTAGGGACTAATACTTTCTCATGTCAGCCAAATGGCAAAAGGAGGGGAGGACAGCGCCAGAGCTCTGCTCCAAAGGGCATGTTATTTCAGTAGCTCTGTGTCACCTTCTGACTTTATGTTGATATTTTGCAGCTGCATGTGGAAGGGAATTTCTCCTGCCGGAGAAGAAAATGAGGTTCTTTTTGCTGGTTTGGAAAGGAGAGTTGTGAGAAGCAGCTCTCCCCTTGACCATCACTTCAAGGAAGCTGTCCCACAGCAGCACAGGTATGGAGGTTTCCATCTGGCTAACCTTTCCTGCTTTCTTCCATGCTGAAAATGCAAAAAGGCTACATACCAAAAGGCTGCCTGCAAGGAAATGCCTCAGATGAGAGGTCTGATTCATGGTCAAGCAACATCACAAAAACAATTCGAACAGAGTTCTGATGAAGTTGTGGAAAGGGGGTGCTGCCTTGTGCTTAGAGAGTGAGGAGTTGAACCAGCAAGGTTTATTCTTTGTAATATCCCTGACTCAGTGCAATCTGGAGCAGGTTGGCTTTACCTCCCCATGTCTCAGTTTCTCTACCGTATAATTCCCTGCACTGATGACGACTTTTATTATGATTTCTGGCAACTCACTTTGATCCACATTGTGAAAGACTCACACTAGCAAGGTTAGGTCTACACAGCAGCTCAAGGACTGCAGGAGGGGAAGACATACCCAGCTAGCTTCAAACTTGCTCACTTGGGAGCTGGTACCATCCTAGCTGTCAGTCTTACCACCAGTTAAACACCCATGGATTTACATAATTTCACAGTGGTTTTGGGAACTTCCTGTAAGTTCTGCATCACTGCTGGCCAACAGTTTCTGCTACATTTTCCATGAATTTTAGTTATGAATGCAGCTATCCACAGAGCAAAGGACAAGAAGCACACAACACCCTGCTCACCTGCATACGCAGTCACAAAAAGCTTCAGGCCAGGAAGCTGAGCAGTGCTGACCATCTAAAGCTGAAGAATTTGAGATGAAGACAAGCTGCCCCACCCTTGGTTGTGTCTGACATTACATTTTCTAGGAGCTAGTTCAGTCTCATTTAAATAACCATGTGATAAGGCTGTTGCCACATACACTAGGGCCTCATTAGTGGCCAGACTCTACACGTTTAGCTCACAACCTTTTCCTCAAGGGTCACACTTTCTGGTTTGAAGCAGGTAATGAGATGCACAGAATACAATGTTCCCCACATAAAAAGCCCCAGAGGCACTGCACCCCTTGCTGGGCTGCCAGCTTCCTCCCTGCCCCCCTCACCCCATTATCCTCCTTGCTTTCTGCGTTGTACTCAGACTCGTGCTGACCTTTTTGATTCTGAAAAGCAACGGAAATGCATGCAGCTTTAAGCGATGTGTAATAAGAAACTTAGGAAGTTAGACTTGAATTCTGAAATGCTTGGTCCACAGCTCTGCAGATATTTTGTGCATGACCTTCTTTAAATCACTTCATGTCTTCATGTTAAATTTTTCTGGTCATGACCAACTTGTGCCCTGGTCCCTGGCTAGACAAGGATGTTTGCAGCACAAGTTATGCCTTCCCCAGGGCAGGACAGCATCCTGACATGGGCCACTGTGAACTACTGCAATCCAATGATACTCTTTGGTTAACTGTAGGTGTGGGAGGGTTTTTTGCAACTGTTCCATGTCTTTGTTTGGCTGCCTGTTTCCACTGAAGGTATTTATAGTTGGACTCTAATGGACAGCCGGACAGGTGCTTTGTGGTTGTGTTCTGCTGATGGTTTTGCACAAGAGATCAGAAAGCACACCAAGCTTTCCCTTCCCAAACAGCACTTCTTGCTTCTCCAGCAGCTTGTAAGCTATAACCAGAAAAGCAACTGTCCCATGAAGATGCATTATGGTCTGCATTTCATTATGCATTGACAGACCAGAGAAGATCCTTCCTCATCAATGTAGCTGCCAGTTTTTGTCTTAAGTTTAAAAAATTAATACCATTAACCCATGCAGTCATACCCCAGCCAGCATCTGTGTAAAAACAGGTCACACTCTAACAAAGTCCTCATGCTGAGAGATGATTTCTGCAGCAGAACATTTCAATGAAACACTGAGATTTGCTTGTAGTACTTGGTGGAGGTCACAGCGTGGCCTGCTTTCTCTTGAACCTGGGAGGCTGTGGGTATTTCCACATTCTGAGCTAAAATTCAAAACGTAGTGAATTCACTAAGATGGCCCTTAGTGGGGTCAGACTGATCTTGGAGCAGGCAGAAAAGTGTATGTGAGAGAGAAAGAGTAGAATGAGGTTTTCACTGATCTTCTTAACTGAATGGGTCTCCCTGTAGGAGCTGAAGTCAGGCAAGGAGAGACAGAGCAGAATCTCCTTCAGCTTACAGCTCCAGCAAAGGAATGAAAGACCATCTGTGGGGTCAGGATGCCAGGGCAGCAAGTTGAGGAAAGGAGACCTTCAAGCTACTTACCAATTCTGTCCAGCCTGTCGAGAGCCACCGTTTCAAAAGCTCGCCGCATCATGGGATACTCTTCCAGCACCTCATTGAAGTTGTCCACTGAGAGGGAGTAGAGCCGGCAGTAGGTGTCCGCTCGCACGCTGGCTGTGCGCCGGCCGCGAGTCAGCAGACAGATTTCTGGAATGAAAGAACCCAGCCTGAGAACACGGGGACAGAGACCATCAACCCCACGGGACAAAACCTGGCACAGTTGCTCAGCAGTCCCGTCTGCCACCCAGTCCCCTCTCGAGCTGGACTCTACCAGCTTTCCCTTTGCTGAAAGCAGGAACAGTAGGAATGTTCTCCATACGCAGTAACATTTCAGCAATAAAATACCAGGGGGCTCAGTTGTGGCAGCTGCTACATACACCCGCACCAAAGGGACTCCGCTGATCTAATTAGCCAGTCAAGTTTTGTTATGGTGGATTATCAAAGATATCACTTGTGCATTCAGAATGGAGAAGCTGTCTTTCACCAGCTCCTCTTGGGCACTGGGAGCAGAAGGTCATGTCGTGCCCTCGTTGAAGCTAATTCCCTCCCTAGATTTGCAGTAGAGGCTCCGTGCTGACCCCGTGGCCCTACTGCCTGTTAATAACTTTGATCCTCATACTCAAAACATTTGTCTTTTCAAAGACGCTTGGAAGTTACTTGCAGATCTGTCACAAGCTTCCAGATTGTCAGGATGAACCAAGTTAGTGGCATTCACTCATTACCAACTCTAGGTGTATTTACACTGAAGTCAGGTATTCCTAGGAGGGTGTTCAGCTGGTTAAAGAACATTAAGTCCTTGACTCCAGCATAAAAACCCCATTTGGGCATGCTCCTTGAACTTTCAGCACAGAGCTCCTGAGGCTTGCTTTTCCACTGACTGAACACAGAGTCTGGGCACCTAAGACAAGCACTTAAATACAGATGGTATGACCTAAGGACAGAAGGTCTTGTCACTGACAGCATACTTCTCTGTGCTGCTGAGTGTTGATCTATCAGCATCGTACTGAGGATTCACTCTGGATCCACCCCAGGGCAATCATATAGCAGCACTACAAAGTGGTGAGTTTTTAGGCTGCTTTCCTAAGGAAAAGGTGCTTATAAGACAGTGCTATTTTTGGATGTGTGTGGAACTGTGTGCGTATCATCCTTACTCCAGCATTCTAACTCCAAATCCCAGCAAGCAAACCCAACTTGCTATGATGCGCAAAATCTCTGTACCAAAGAGCCAGCAGGTGGGCGCAAACAGGTTTTCTTTGCAGGAACTATGATTGTAAGATGAGTATTTAATACAGAATAGTCCTTATAGAAGGACAGGTTTCATTCTACCTCCTCTCAGTAGACAGTGGTGCACATTCAGCACTTGTACTGAAACTCACATCTCCCTGAGAACTGTCTGTCCTGGAGTGTCAGTGTGGTCTCGGCAGGGCTCTGACAGCTGGGTAGTCTCTGTTACTCTGTGAGCAGTATCCTGAAGCTTGTGGTGCTTTCTGACCTTGTACTAGTTTCACTGCTGCTGACACATTACACCTGCCTGCTGACCTTCATGACATTTTGCTGAGCCACAAACTGGGGAGATGAAGGACTATGTTTTTCCCTCCATGTTTATACAGCACTTCATATGATAGATGCCAGACAGTAGGAATAGGCAATGCTATAAATGTGCTTGGAAAACAGAGAATGCTCCATTTTTTCTCTTTACATTCTCAGCTTCACAGATCCATCAGTTTGCTTGGGGCAGAAGGAAATGAAACTACAAGAGCTTAGTTTTCCTTCTCCACTTTGTTATTATTTATAGTCCAGACTCCTGCGATGCCCGTAAATCCCAGCCACAACCCACTGTACAATTTACTATATGAGAAGCTGCAAGACAGCTGAGATGAACAGAGGGTGGACAAAGAAGTGGCAGAGGTATCAGTACCACATGCTGCTCCACCTGTGCATCCAGGACAAGTTAAGGACAATGTGAACACTAGCAGTGGGCCTCACTGTGAAAAGGTGACCCATAAACACGCACCTCCAAAGTAGGAGCCATCTGCCAGCTTGGTCTCCTTGTTGCCTTTGGTGAGGACACTCACCACCCCGTGCTGGATGAAGTACATCTTCTTGCCAATGGTGCCCTCCCGAATGATGTAATCCCCAGGCTGGAATACCTCAAACCGCAGCTTGGTCAACATGGATGTCACAAAGTTGGGATCTGCGTTGGCAAAGAGTGGCATGGAGGCAACCAGCTTCCGGCAGTTGAAGTTTATGATTTCCTGATGGCACAGTGAATAAAAAGAGAAAGAGAGGGTGGGAGGGAAGAAAAGATGGGACGAGGAAGCAGAAAAGGTATGTTTAGTCAACATCTAATAACATAACGACATTCTCCCACTTATGTTAAAAAATTCACGCTGTGCATTAAATAGTCAAAAAAGATGCTGTTCCCTTGGTCTGGATCCCCCAGTGTTGGCTAGAATGGGCCTCTGGATGCTCACAGCACGTAGCAGTGCTAACTGAAGCTGATAGTTTGACTCCATGCTTCACTGCTTTCATTCATATGCTTTCCCTTTGAGCAGGGACAAAAGAGTGATTCCCCTCATCCTCCCAAATACATAAAATATATCTCTTCCTGCAGAAAGCTTTGGAGTGTATGAGAGGTGCATAGCGGTGGTAAAACTGTGCATGAAAAAGCCCAGAGCTCCACTCTGGGAAAATGTTATAACTCACCTTGGCAGCCCTATGTACTCCATTGCCCTTGCTTGACAATGAGATATTAAACAGCACAAATGTGCCACAGCTCTCAGAGAAATAATTATCCTGGTCAGCTGGGAACAGTGTCAAGAGGAGGGAGGGAAAGGTGCCCACCAGTCACTGAGGCATGGGCTGGATCATCAACCTCAGCTGAAGAAAACCCAATTCAGCTGTTCAGCTGTCACAGAGCAGACGGGGACTGTGCCTCTTCCTGCGGCTTGGTGTCACTCAGAGGGTATGACAGTGTTTTCCATTGCACAGGAGCTGCTCTGTGCCATGTCAGCTCAGACTCAGAAGGCAGCAGAAAGTGATATTGAGTAAATCACCCAGCACAGTGCTCCCCAGTCAAGCACAGGAGCAAGATCTGGATGACTGGAGCAGGAAGAAGGAGGGCAGGGGAAGCATGTGTCTCCTCCTTACTGAGACTTCTCTTCCAGGTTTGCCCTTTTAGACATCATGCCATTCTCAAAAATCTCAGGGTATTTATCCATACTATTGACTCTGCAATGCAAGGTAACAGACCCTTACAGTGCCCAGGAATAAAGTACAGGAGCAACTGAAGGAGGGGGAGCTCAGCAGGATTAAGGTTCTTATGTCTGTTGTACAAACAAAAAGAGCAGAAGATTGGAGAGTCAAAAAGTGAAGGAAGGGGAGTGAAAATCATCTCCACACCCCCACCAGAATCTGCTGCAGAGATCTAACAGTACCCTTAAGGACACAAAGGGGCAGTGAGTACTGTGTGCTATATAGCCAGCCAGAGGTTAGCCAGGCTCAGGAAAGCAAGCAAAGTCTTTCCTAAAAGGATTCAAAGCACAAGGCTGTCTTATCCTCACCAACATGACCTGCCTTGTAACATGCTGCTCCTCTCCAGCATTGCCATGGGCTCAAGAGCACCACACTGAATACTCTGCAAACCATGGGGACAGGACAGCGCGCAGCTGCCAAGGACGGCAGGAATATGCACCATCCTCACCTCTCGGAGGGGCTCGCTCAGCTCTCCCAGGATGCTCTCTTCATCAAACATCTTCCCCTGGTAGCGGTGCTCATAGTAATCATGGATGCGCTGCCTCATGTCTGCAGGGAGCTTGTGGAAGGACATATACTGCTCCACTTGCTTGTACTGCACAGAGGAAAGAAGAAGAAAGGGAGTTACCAGGCCGTGTAACAAATGGCACCCACGTGGGGACAAATACATACCACGGGATTCCCATACCTGACTCTTCCACACCACTCTGGGTTGGCCAAGGCAGGTAAATCTGGTGCAGGACAGCACAATTGCCTTAACGCATGGCACGTTTGCAGACACCTTTGTTTTATTTCCCAAATAGATGCCTGATGTTTTAACCTTATCCTCAGCCAGTTACACCATGAACACAGCTCCTCATTCCCTGAATACTGTCCTCACTAACACACACAGAGGAAGATCTGGGAGCAGATGCCTGAAGGGCTGGCAAAAACAACTATCACATTTAGTAGCATGAAGCTGCACCCATGGCCTGCTTTTCCTCTCCTCTGTGTTCTCACCTGCCCACTACAAACATTTTTTCTTTCTCACTTAGAGCTGCACAGGACCAGATTTTCTTCACTTACTGCTGGATCCCTGTTGCTTCCTGCACTTACGCTATCTAACCTGCCCGTGTTTCTGCCTAAAGAATCGCATTTCCATCCTGTCGTTTAGAGGAGAATACAAGGGCACGCTGTCTGATGCCAGAGCAATGTTTGGGGATGAGTGGTGCTTTCTATCAGTAACTGACACCTCTTCAAGGGCACAGGACTGTAAATGGGACCACTTGCCCTGTAGGTGCTGCAGGGACAAGGTGTGTGTGCTGCAATGCTCGTGCCCCTTCCTCCTGGTGTGCAGTACAGAATATCACCCGTACTAATAATGCTGACAAGAGGACCACACACCCCTTTTTCCCTTTCTTCTTTCCCCCAGTAAATCTGTCCCTGAATGTCTCTTTACTGCAGCTTGTGCTGAAGTGCCTAATTACCAAACTTCTGCTCATTACAGACCTTCCCTGCACATCAGTGTCACTTAGAACTCAGTACAGTCTGTGCTGGCGCTGCCTTGCATGCTAACAACTTGATCTGCACCAGAGAGGAGAAGGAATTACTTGGAGAAGCCAAGGTAGCAGAGGGGACACTCGGGGTTTCCTGGCATTTCCAGAGCTCTTTGTCTGTAGCTTGCAGCAAAGGAGCTGGCTGTAAATATTCATGATCGCTATAGCATGATCAAAGTCAAGCGAGTCACCACCTCCCCACAGGGAGCTGAATTGGCAATGAACGCTGCACTTTATTATTTGGATTGCTGAAGTTCTGGAGAGGCAGGCAGGATGCTGTAGTGGGCTGTGCTAGGTGCTGCATAGCCTGCAGCTCATCAACAGGGGAGGCAAAATGAGTGGAAACCCTGTGTCCTGAATTGGACCCTATCTACCACACTGCAAAAGCACCACTTTTGTTGTTTTATCCAAGAGCCCCGCTGTCAGAGCACCAGGATACCTGTGAGGGTGGCCAGTGGCACAGATCCCAGCCACCAGCCCACTAGCCCTCTCCTCCCCACTCTAAGCACTTGCTATCAATCTCCAGCTGATCTTGGCTTTGTGGGAAAAATGCCCCAACAAGCACAGGTTGGATGGGAACACTCAGGACTCTCTGCTTACTCACTACTGCGTATGGATTTATTGCTTTGTAACAAAGAACAATAAACAACCGCCCTGCAAAGCCTCTAGGGCTTGTCAGATTCTCCCACACTAACTGTTCCCAGATAAGGCTCTGTGCAAAGACAGGACAGACTTACTTCACCAAAATAGAAGGTTTTCCTTCCTTCCTTCTTACGAATTAAAAATGTGCCTACGAAAGAAAACTGTGAGATAAGAATCCATAATTCTCTGTCACAGTTAAGCAGAAGGACAAGTCTCTGCTCTCCTGTCTTTGGCAGTGCTACCTCCCCTCACCCTGTGCCAGAGGGACACACAGACATCAGTGGCCTCTCTGAGTTCAAAGGGAAAGACTCATTAGGAGTTATTTAAATCTTTCTGAAGACAATCAAGTCCATTTAATTTCAAACTTATTTTAAATCTGTTTTTCCTTGAATAAGCCTTTGAGGGAGGCAATACACCACAAGGGAACCACTTAGAATCACAGAATGGCTTGGGTCGAAAAAGACCACAATGCTCATCTATTTCCAACCCCCCTGCCACGTGCAGGGCTGCCAACTACCAGACAGACCAGGCTGCCAACACCACCAAACCAGGCTGCCCAGAAACTTATATGAGTATTTTTCCTTCTAGAACCTGCAGCTTTCCCTAGCTGTCTCACCACTCCCCTCCCTCATACCACACTTCACTCACAACCCAAGGAGAACTAAATATTTTTAACGTTTTTCATGCCCTCAATCTCTGTCATGAGTCCTTCTTTCTTTGGCAGTAATAAATCACTGTCTGGAAAAGCCAGACTATTTCCTCACCCTATTTCTGAATACGAAAAAGACGCTGCTTTTGAGAAGATTTGCTTCTATCCCAACCCTGGCACAGATGCCTCTCTGAGTCCTCTTTGGTCCTCAGCCCTCACTCTGCAGAGCTTCAGAGAAATGCCATTTGCTATTCTTGCAACTGGGTTAACTCAAACACACACACTTGCACAGAATGCTCACCAACATGGGCCTACTGCAGTGAAGGTACTTGGGATGCTAGCTGCCCTTCACCCAAAGATAAAAGCACATTTCCCATACAGAGTTGCATTACTTCCAGGAATGGGCTGAAGCAGCTGTGGGATGGACTTTAATCCTGCTCCCATTCTCCACATCTGAACTTCCTGGAGGTCAAAAGAGATGCACTTGTGTAAGGAAAAGGGGAACCAAGCAGAGTAATGCATTTTCAATGAAGTGAAATATTATGATGCTCTGACAGCATTTCAAATGCTGTATGGGAATGGCAGCATACATCCTGAGACTGGATTAAGATACACGTAATCAGCCATGATGTACAGCACTGCATCTCTCTTAAGTGGATTTGTGCTTCAAAAGGGCAAAGATCAAGTGACAAGATTCACCAGATGGAGTGTTTTGATAGGACACAGTTGCATCTTTGTTTTATTTTCTCTGACATATGATTAGGAGCAAAACAGTGCTGCCATGTCAGCTCCCCAGCACTTAGTAGTCATCAAAAACTAATGAATGCTAAGTTCTGCTTTTTGTCTCTTAAGCCATTCATGCTCTCACCCTCAGGATCTGTTCTGTGACCATGAGATCTCAGTGTGATCAATGCACATTCTCATGGAGTCCAGTGACTCCAGGAGAGAGTGGTTTAAGGGAAGAAAATGGAACATTTGTAACAAATAAAATCAGGCCAAGAGTGCTGGTGCAATCTCTGCTGATTTCCCTTTGCTTGTAGCTTACTTTGTGTCAGCTTTAGAACACAACATTTTGCTTTCTCCCTGATATTTTGCCGAAGACTGTACTGGATACAAGCTAGCAGTTTATCTTGCCAACACTTCAGCTTTGGGTGCTATTGACTGCTTCCTACAGACCCAGTCTTCAGTCTGCAAGAAGCTTTATATGCGTCTTGGTTCTGAGCTCTTCGAAACACTGAGTTAATTTCTGCACTGCAGCGCTAGCTCAATTTGCTACAGGAGGATGATTTTCAAGTGCTGCATGTTACATGCTGAAATACACTGAATGCTTTTAACTCCACTGCAGTGATACCTTCAGAAATGATCTTACGTAGAATCTAGCTCTTGTTCTGTTATGAATATCACAGACACTAGCAAAGGATTTTTGGAGTCTTCCACTTTCTGTACAACATTCATTACAATGAGGAGCCTCTGTTGCTGCCTCTCCTTGCTGTTCATCAGTAGCTATTCAGGCAAGGATTAAGCTTCAGACAATCTATTTCTTGGTGGTGAGATGTCAGCAGGGTCAATTATAAGCTTGATGAAGCAGTTGTTTACTTCCTCCCATTGGATGCATTACTGCAGTGGCCACAGCACAAGCAGGGAATCCCACCATGGGTGCTGTTCAGCACACTGCAATCAGCTGTCTGTCACAGTGCTATGAGATGTGGCCCTGCTGAGCTGCAAGTGATGCAAACATCCATGAGTTTCAGGGGTCTCAGGAGATGGAATCCCAGAATTTTCAGACAGAGCTGTTTGCATTTAAATGCTGTGGCAATGCCTGTTTGCTATTACAGGTGCTCTGCCTTAAGCTTTAATCCTTTGCCTGATGGCAAGATTCTGCAATTATGAATGTACTACGTACAAACCTTACACTATGGCCATAGAAACAGCTTGTTTTCCACAACCAAGCTGGGAAAGGCCAGCATACCCTAGCATACATCTGTAGTCCAGCACAGCAGACATTTGGACATGACCATTGGATCTTTTATTCTTCAAGCACTGTGAATTCCCTATCGCAGGACATTCTAGAGATGTCAGGTCACGTTGCTGGATCCACATACTTGGAAACATGGTGGGGAAAAAGAGATCAATTTTACTTTCATCAGAAGAGAAAGACAAGAGAAATGAGGTAAAGTCTGCCAGGAGACAAAGGCTAGAGATGTAGGAAAGGGAACAGCGAGTCTGATGTGAAATCAGAATTGCCGGGAGCAGCTTTCTGCCAGGAGAGGTGGCTCAGCAGGGAGCCTGTGCTCTTCACATTGTGATGTATTTATTTATTTATTTATTTATTTCTGGTTCAAGTGCCAAAGTGAATTTCAAAACTGATAATGAAGTTTGAAATCCCACACTGGGATACAAAGAACTGCTGAGGCAAGAGCACTTTCCTTTCCGTGACAACACGCAGCGCTCGTGCGTGCACGAACATACTGCTCAGCCAGGCTGTGCTTGACACTGCTTCGAGAACAGAGCTATCTGTCTGGCTTCCACTCTCAGAAAGAATTAAGATGTCAAAATCTTAGCTACGATCACTTTATCTTTGATACAGCAGACCAAGACCAATCCTCAACATAGGACTGGTGACAGAAGGCAAAACTACAGATTTGTGTCTCCTTTTGTGAAGATGTCCTAGAAAGGCACAAAAAAGGCACCAACTTCTGCATGAGCACAGGGAGGGCACTGCCTGAACTCTGTATGTCAGCCCACTCAGCCAGCTATGCTTCTGTACGT